GAGTACAGCGTTCAGCGACGCGCTGTATGGGTTCAGACGATGCCACGCTCAAGGCAGATCCTTAGCGACATGCGGTTGAAGATACTGCAGCAAGAAAGTGCGATTAATAATAGCATGTTCTACTCGTGGTCTGGGAACCGATTTCAGAATACCCTCCCGTTAGAGCAGACTTATGGCAATTCGGCTACTGGGTATGGTTATTATAACCATATGCAAATCAAGGGTGCTGAGTACGGTCGGCAGGCTACCGCTATTGGGAATGAGATACTTGGCTCGCCGGCACATGTTGCTGACGAGTTAGAGAGACGGTGGAGGCTCGTGGAATGAACGACTCTATTCCGTCTAATGTCATAGTGTCTTACCTCGAGTTTTTTGAGGTGGTGTAACTCAGACTATACAGTCAGATTAAAAATACTGATATAACAATCATATGAAGAGAGTTGACAGACCGAGGTAGAGGTGAAGAATAGACGTTAAAACCGCCCTAGATTAGGTCAAGCAACAAGACGATATGGCGTACAAATTATAGATCAAAACTGGCTCGTTAACAATTAATTACACACTATATAAGATATATAAGATGGGATTGAGATATAATCAACGAGAATAACATCGGCTACTTCCGTTTCTTCTGCGTCAGATCTTCTCCAATAATTTTCATTATCTCCGGCATACGGAATTTGTTCCAACACGCAGTGTCAATCACCCACTCACCCAGGCTGTGCCCAAACCATGCCGCCCGCGCCATCCCACCGTACCAGAACCAGTCCGGTCGTCCAAATAGACTTCGCAACCATCCTGGGCTCTCAGGCCGAAGCGAGTCCGCGACCAGCTTCTTCGCAAAAGTTTCCGTGTCCATCGTATCATTATTCTGACTGAATACAAGCCTCCACTCAAAGATGTGCTTTACCTTCCGGTACAGGCTGTTTTCGGGTAGAATGCGGTGGCCCTGGCTCGCCGTGTTGCTCCTCACTGTCCCGGTCATAGATACCATGACGCGAACACCAAATGGAGCCAGTTCCAGACGCAGCGTACGTGAATAGGCGCAGACAGCGGCCTTGCTGGCACAGTACACCGATCCGAATAGGTACGGGGTGATAGACGACAGTGACGAAATATTGATAATTAGGCCCTTCGCGGCGATGAGCTGGTCGATGAACGCTTGGACCATGGCCATGATGGAGAAGACGTTCGTTTCAAACGTTGCGCGGACGTCAGGAATTGAGATATCCAACGCTGGATGCGTGTGCGTGCGACCCCTGTCAAAGTTTGTTGAGCATCCAACTCGTATATATCGCAGTCTTTTCACACCGATAGCCGTTGGGAGGACGACCTGGGGCACGGTAGGTTTACTCACGCATTGTTCACGAGAATGTCTAGCTTGCCGCCATTAATCTTGGCGACTTCCTCGTGGCATTTCCTGATGCTTTCAGCATCGGTGACGTCCAGCGCCACGGTGCTCATACCCAACTCGGCCAGCTCTGCGAGGACCTCCGGCCGACGAGCTGTAGCAATGACATGCAGCCCTAGAACCTAGTCAGCCAATATGTCTTGATGATAGATGAGGTTTTCGGTTGACCGAGTAAAGGTACCTTGTCTGTGATATTCGAGGCATATGCTATGACCGATACCCCCTGGCGTACAGCTTCAGTTGAGGGATAGTGTTAGTAGTATTTTCTAGAGCAATCAATGTAGCATAACATTACCGTACCCAGTCACAAGCGCCGTCTTCTGCCCTGGCTTAATTTCCGTCATATCGCCAGCACTATTGGTGTCGAATTGAAGATTGGAATGATGAGAAGCCGCCCTTGTCTCCTCGATTTGGACGACAATGTCCACGCCTACCTAGGTACGCCTCCTGTACTTGCCAGGTCCTGTGCATGTGATTCATTCAGGGATCTTGCTACCAGGTACTGGTTTCCAAGCGAGGCACCTAGTCATAGCCTAGTCTAATCCAGACTAGTGCCTACACTACCCTGGAACTAGCGACGCCCCTGTTGATTGGTGGTATCAAGTTATATCAAGTTATATCACGAAATATGCACTTCAGGTCAGCCTCGTTCCAACTTCAGCTATACGCCTTTTTGTTTCTTTCGCATAGCATTCATATAATATCAGGTGCTACTACAACATATACAAGTGTCAATGACCAGAGAATTACGCCATCCGGCATCGATAGCAAGAACGGACTTCAGTTTAGTTAAGACATCGCAGCGTGTGCAATATTTAAAACTTCAAACGAATTCAACGTCACACACACAGGCCGGAGATTAACAATATGTCCTGCACTGACTCTTACGAAAAGAGCCCTCCATATTTCGGAAGAAAAAGTCAAGTGGCAGGAATAACATGTGCATCATTACCTATACATCATGAATACAGCATCCGAACCAGCATTTGAATTTGGTTTGATTTGATTCATTTCATCGCATACATTACGGCCTTTACTGTAGGACTGGGTGCTTTTGTCAATACCCACGTGTGTCGCGGGTGTAGCCTCACATGGTCCCTTCGGTAACAACTCGGAAATGTTCGCGCAGAACATAGAAAAGGTTGTAACAGGATTGTCTTACGTTGGGTTGGGATTGTTGCACAAAGTTTGATAGCGATTTTCGCAATTGAATGCCAGTTGCTTCCTCTATCTTTGGTTCTTCTAGAATGGCGTCCGAGACATTTTTATCCCTGGAGTAAGCTACGCGTTGCGTAATATCCTGTCGAGGAGTACATACACTTCAAGTCTAATCCAATGGTATTCGCCAAAGCCTAGAATCCGAAACGGCTACGAATTCATATCAACGGTTCCAGGAGTCATGGTTCTTGTCCATTGTACAACCACTATATGCAAGTCATCCCTCACCACGTTCATGCAAGGAGGTTACCCAAACCTAACATGTGAGTTCCCTCTGGGATGCATACATTAATTTAGTGTTTGCGTATCACCTCATGACCGAGTTTGCCCTACTCCTGATGCCTTGTTGGATACTCAAGATTCTTCATTTAACCTGAAGACGTAAGATCATTGCGGATCATTTAGTCATTGTTCATCAATAGAGGAGCCTTAGCTTTAGAGAAGATAATATATAATCAGAGACCACAAACTCCGCCAGCCCGTTCCATTTCTTTCTCATCTCATTCCAACCATACAAGACTGTCTACTGAACAAATACTTCAATGCCTCGACCAGAAAAGCCTCGACCAGAAAAGCCACGAGCAGAGAAGCAACGAGCAAAAAAGACTCGATCTGAAAAGCCATACATTGAGCCGCTCCCTCCCGTTCGTGACCCCAGAGAGTATTCAACTCAGCATCGGAGCCATGCTCATTACTACGTAAGATTACCTCACTCCGATAGGCACTCAAGAATCAATCTTGTTAATATGGTTCCTGTTATAATACGAGCAGACTGAGCAACCAGTATACGGAAACTACGGTGGCGGTGGCCACGGTTGGCATGACCAGGAACATTATGTAAGTTCAAGTTAAGGCTGCCCATAGGTAGTAAGACTAAGTCTAATTACCATAGATGCATTATTACAATGGAGGACCATCCGGACCCTTGCCACCAATGATGCCATATCCAGGCTTCCCATACCAACCTGCTAATCCGCTCGGCTTCCCTCCCTATGCTAGCCCAGTAAACCCAAACCTCCAAAGCTTACAAAGCCCACTAGGTCCACCCAGGGCACCCACTGGGGGAAAGGCATACATGCCGGCCGAATACAGACGCCCCAGTCACGTTTGGGTCGAAGCACATGCCCCCCCTCATGCAATGCCAGTACCAGACAACGAACCACAGACTACTACAGAACTAGTATTATACAACGAGCGACGGCCGGCTGTGGTAGCTATGGGTTTTCTCTCAGAATGGATTGGCGACCATATCACAGACTACAGCACATCTGGCAGAGTCAGGGATATTGCCGAGAGAGCTCGTCATAACATGGGTGACTTCGAAACAAGTTTTGATTCATACAGGGCCACGAGGGCAACGGCCAGGAGGGAACAGGGGGGACATCGGTTGCCTCACCACATGGAAGACCTTTATCACCGAGCACGAGATGTAAAAGAGCTGTATGAGAGCACTATGGCTAGATACGATGGCCCGTTCAAGCGAAAAAAGGATTGCTCCGATACTGAGAAGGAACAAGCGCAAAAGATTTTGGAACATATGTTTGGCCGTGATTATGATACATGGGACGGCTTCATTTGGCACGTAATGGAATGGATGAGCACTTTTCACAATGTGTTCGGAGTATGGTATAGACTGAGCAATAATAGTAATTCAATAGACTCATGAGGCACTACCCGCCTTCTATTCAGCAAATCCCATGCCTTTTTTAATGATTTCTCTGCCCCAGTTTGATTTTTTAAAGTAGTGGCTAGGCGAAAATCGTTACATAGTATTATACCCCTCTTTAGTGTTCTGCTGGATATGGCGTTGTCACCACGAAGACAGAAATACGTCCTATATTAACGCACTAAGAAAAGAATTGGCTATACATATATTAATTAGGCTTAGGTAGACCACTTGAATATATAAACACAAGGAGGCAAGCGAAACTGGAATAGATGTAGTAAGGGACATGATTGAATGAAAATTTATATTAATTAGGGCGCGTGAATTGAGAAAGCTCGCGTATAAGTTCTCTTCCAGTATGATACTAGAAGAAAAACCATATACAGAAAACTACTGGTCTTATCATTGTGCTTCCACAAGCATTAGTATCCATTAAAAATAATTCAACACGATCTAGAGGGTCTTTTCTTGTCATTCGCATAAACTCAAGAACTGACTTTATATGTTTCCGTCCACCCCTCCTTGTGGACGCAACGGGACAAGACCTTAAGTCCTCTACAATACTAGACCTATAAGTCCCGGGTTCATACTGTAGGCAAGCTGCAATACAAGCAGCTATCCAGAGCTAATCTAGCCTGCGGAACCAATCGCTTACCGAAAACCCTAATCACATAAGACCTGACAAACGACTATAGTCAACAACCAGGTGAGATGGCCGAGTGGTTATGGCGCTGCGTTCAGGACAAAATCTGAACAAATTTCGCAGTGGAGCAATCCGCGTGGGTTCGAGTCCCACTCTCATCATTAATATTTTCATCGAACGTTGGATATTAATCAGTTTTTTGGTGTTGCGATCTGGATTTTTAGGTGTCGAAATAGTGGTCCTAGAATCATGCTTAAAAGTAGGTGGGTGGGGTAGGTATAGTATCAATAATCAGCGCTAAGTTAGAAGTACAACCTAACTATTTTCATTAGTCTAGTAAATATTGAACTATAATGCTGAATGAAGCTCATGCTCTCTCTGGCTTCAAGTCTCTGATAATTCGTTCATCTATGAGTGATTCGATAATATCGCCTCGGAATACTTTGGTTTAGATCAACAATGTTGAGTATTTGGCATGAATATGTATATGACTGACACTTTATAACACAATCATTATTTAGACTTGGTAAGGAACGCTTTATCTCAATTCATTCACTCATCTCACGCGGCCCCTTCCACACATCCCATTGCTTATTGCCTCCTTCTGTGACCATCATGACCCGTAAGCTCGAACAGCCATTGAAGCCTCTTGTCCCTTGACCATAGCAGCAACCGTCTCCTCGACCGGAATCGGCTTCAGCCCAACACGATCAAGCAGCTTCTCCAGCATGGGGTCATCGACAAGACACTCCCCATTTTCAAGCGCCTCGTACGTGCTAGCCCACCACTCGACGACGGGTTTCGGCTTCCCCTGCTCCTCGACATAATACCTCTCGTGTTCCCGGCGCCCCACGATCTTGACCTGGACATCCCTGCCCCTCGCCTTCCCAACAAGCCGTGCGATTTCCCCGACCGTCTTCGCGGTTTCGGGGCGCGTGGACAGGTAAAACGTCTTCCCCGCGAACTCGTCATCCCCGGAAAGGACGAGCGCGCTAGCAACGCCGAGGTCGTGGATAGCCGTCCAGGAAATCTTCCCGTCGCCACCCAGGGGCACCACGTCCCTCTCGCCCCGCGCATTGCCGACGTCGAAGTAGCCGAGGTAGAGCGGCCAGGAGTCGTGGTACAGCCCCTCGCGCAAGATCGTGACGCGGATCCCGTGCGTCGCGCCCACGGAGCGGAGATACGCCTCGGTGCGCAGATGCGCGCGCATCACGCCCGCTTTGCTAGTATCCGCGGCCCCGGCGGAAGGAGAAAACCCGAACGCCAGGCTGGAGTACGTGATCCATTTCACGCCCGCTTTCACAGCCGCGTCGACGGCGTCCTTATGGTGGCTCTCTCTCCCCCGCTTCTCGCCCAACGACCCGGTGCCGTCGAAATCCATCGCGACCCCGAAATCGAGCGCGATGTTCGGCGTCGAGACGAGGAAGAACCGCTCCACGCCTTCGAGGGCCCGCTCGAACGTCGCGGCATCCTCGAAGCGCGCGTGGCGGACCTGCACGCCCGTCGCGGCTAGCTTGGCCCATGTCTGCGAGTCGGGCGTCGACGATGTCAGGGCTATGATGTCGGATGGTGGTGTGAGCTTGTGCGCCAAAAGCGCGGAGAGCGTGGCTCCGCCCAGTTTGCCCGATGCGCCGACGATGGCTATTTTCGCCATTTTTCGTATGTTTTCGCGAGTAGATGTGTTGAGTGTTTTGAATTGGGATAGTTTGCTAAAACGAATAGCGAATGTCTCCGTCGAATGGGCGAAGTCAATATAGCTCTGGGGGTAATCTATCAAGTACAGATGAATCGTATTGTAGTGGTGCAGTTGATCTCATTCCACGGTTGATCGAGAAGCAGCGCAGACGCTCATATATATATCTCTTTCTATTCATTTTGGCTTGCCAATTGGGCGGATCAATATGCCCCCATAGATTTGACAGCTAGAGCATCACATCACGGCAACTCTTAACTTCTCAAGATCAACTTGCAACATTGGTAAGAGTGAGGTCTTCATGGTTGTTCAATTAATAATCTCAAATGTGAACTGATTTCCAAATAGCCAATTTAGGAAACAAACTGCGAAAGGAGAATTACAATAGCGCCCGGGATTAACGCGGCCCCAAGCTCAATACTTACCCCATGTAACAGGCCCCGGGACGGTTACTTTAAACTCCTCCAGAAGCCTGGTCAGATACTTCTGATTAGGTGGGTAACTAGCAATTTTGTAAGTATACCTGTAGTACCTGATTATACTCTGGTTTTTCTGTAGCACTAATCTTCACTATGTATTATCCTAAGAGTCTATGGACGTACTCGAAATTCCAACTTGAGAGCCTGTCGTCGATGATAACCTCGCGTCTTGATATTCTCTCGCGTACATTGAAGTATCAGAGAAATATTCTCTAGCACAATACAGATATAACACATCAAGTATGGAGCTTATCAACAATTTGCCATTTTATAATACGGCCTAACCATTCCCCTAACCGACTAACTTTGGGCTAAGTGTGTATTTGATAGCAATGATCCGAACCCTTTGATCTTGGAATACATGGTCCCTATATGGCGACAAAGAAGCTCTTCTCGCCATCCTTGGGGAGAACACGCGCCCGCTCCATGATAGGATCAACACACGACAATCTGATCCTCTCGGGCGTTGCGGGACTCTCGAGTCTCAACAAGCCATCGTCTTCACCATCCTCGGTGCCTAACTTAGCCTTTACGCCATAATCTGCGCGCGCGGCCTTTAGGGCATCTCGAATCGCGAAGAATACGGCGCTTCCCATGAACAGGGGAGGTTCGCCGACTCCGCGACTTCGTTGAATGGTGCGGAGATTCTCCCATGTTACGTCTTTCAGGAGACTGACGTTGAAGACCTGCGGTATGTCGCGGAAACCTGGGATCTTATATGCACCTGGGCCTTTGGTGAACAAGTTTCCTGCCATGGGACCATTGCGGAGCCATAAGCTCTCCTCCATCGTGAAAAGACCCACGCCCTGGACAAAAGCACCCTCGATCTGGCCATAGTCAATAGAGGGATTGATCGAACGGCCGACGTCCATCTTGATGTCAGCTCTCAAGCATGTCCACGTTCCAGTGAGGCAGTCTATCTCGACCTCCGCGGCTGTTACACCTTGCGTGAAATAGAAGAACATCTTGCCTACGTTCTCGCCCCATTTGTACCCGATCTCCGGGGTCTTGTAAAATCCATTGGCACTTAGGTTTACACGATCGAAATAAGCTGCGTGTGCGAGTTCCTTCATTGTCGCTTTCGGCCCAAGCTTTTCCCTGTAGGGAGCTAGACGAGCGTTGATCTGTTCGCAAGCGTTCCACACCGCATATCCGTTTAAGTCGGATGACGCTGAAGCTGCCGTAGCCGATGTGTTCGCGACGGTATTTGTAGCGGTCTCTGAGATGAACACATCTTCCATGGGTACCTGCAATGCCTCAGCAGCAAGTGTGATCATCTTGGTGTGTAGTCCTTGACCCATTTCAGTTCCCCCATGCGCAACTAAGACCGACCCATCGTGATATATGTGAACTAGTGCGCCAGCTTGATTGAACCAAAGCGCTGTAAAGGAAATGCCAAACTTTGTCGGGATAAGAGCGAGCCCTCGCTTACGCCATTTGTGACTTGCATTGAATTTCTGGATAGCCTGTCGACGGTTGGCGTAGTCCGATTCCTCTTTTACTTGCTTATACATTAGTGGCACATGCCAGTCTTGTATAGTCTGGTTGAAATGCGTTGTGTCGTTGACCTCGTAAAAGTTGATTTCGCGGAGATCCTCGACGGCCATGCCCAGCCGGTCGGCCACCTCGGACATCATTGACTCGGCGATGAACATCCCTTGAGGGCCTCCAAAGCCACGGAAAGCGGTGTTAGACATCGTATTGGTCTTACACAGGCGACCGCGGATGTGGACATTAGGGCATTTGTAGCATCCATCGATATGAGTCATGCACCGTTCACATACAGCCGCACTGAGATCGAAGGACCAACCTGCGTTATTGAACACGTCGACATCGAGGGCTTGGAGTTTCCCGTCCTTGTTGATGCCAACCTTCCATTTCGCAAGGAAAGGATGACGTTGTCCAGACATTACCATGTCCTCGTCTCGGTTTAGCATACACCTAACGGGACGCTTGGTTTTTTGTGCAGCCAAGGCCATTATAGTGCTGAGCTGGACACATCTTGTTTCCTTGCCGCCAAACCCTCCACCTAAACGCTTGACTCGGGCAACGACTTTGTTGGCCTGTACGCCGAGAATTTTCGCGGCATATACTTGACTGATAAATTGATGAGCCTTTGGCTTTTCTCAACTTAAGGGTAGGAACATACCTTTCAGTCGGATTCTGACTGCTGGACCAAATCTCCATCTCGCCATCTTCTGGTTTGGGTATTGCTAAACATGCATTCGTCTCAAGATAGAAGTGTTCTTGTCCGCCCATCCGTGTTACGCCGGTAAAAACATGATCGCAGTTTTTGAAAGCCTCTTCCACGTTGCCCTTCTTGATGTAATTAAAATACTTGTGGAAGCTCTCTTTCTCGATAGCTTCTTCCATTGTAAAGATGGCAGGGAGATCCTCATATTCGATCTTGACAGCGCGGACCGCATCGTTTGCCCTAGCCTTCGAGGTGGCTAGTACTACGGCGATAGGCTGACCTGCAGTAAATACCTCGTCTTCAGCGAAGAAATAATCGTCAAAATGAGGTGCTCCCCATCTGTTGTCCTCAGGTTTATGCAGATCATTTTTATCGACAACATCAACCACCCCAGGAATATCTAGAGCGGCGGAATAATCAATAGATTTGATCTTGGCGTGCGCACGAGATGAGAAGACGACGCAGGCGTGAAGCTCATTCTTCAAAGGTGGAATGTCGTCGGTGTATTGGGCTTCGCCTGTCACCTGCTTCAGAGCAGCAACATGGTTGGCAGCTTTGCCGAGTGATTCCTGTGTATACTCAGTAGTTGCCTCATGGTCTTTCCAACCCGTTGATAATGCCCGCTCTAGCTCCTCAACGGCCTGGCTATCTCCATGCTTGCTTTCTACGTTTATTTCAGACAACACATCATGGTAGAAACGGTAGAAGAAGCCTAATGCCAAGGATTTGCGGTAAGACGCCATACCTCCGGGAACACTGAATACGAGGTCGAAGTCAGATTCGAGCGCGTTCATA